CAGCCAAGACCTGTCTCTCTTTTATAGTCCCATGGGACCCATGAATGAAAGCCCCACTGGTCACCAGAACTGTGTGATTTAGGGTGTACCCTGAGTAGCGGCCCCAAAAATTAGGGCACCAGATGAGTGTAGAAGCTCCTCTCCAGGAGACACTGGTGAACTGAGCAAGGCAGAGAGAGAGCATGAAGATAGTGCCCACTGACCTCCATCTTTGGAGAGCATTAAAGTAGGCCTCTAGATATGTGTTAAATCATTTCAGGCTGTCACTGTGAAGATAAGCTAATGGGCCTCTTTCACAGAAAGACTGGGTGCTTCAGTCTGTTGCCTCTCTGCTGTGCCGTGAAGGTGGTAGCCAGTTAAGAACTTTTTCCATTTGTTACAGTCCTGTGGGACCTACAAGCGTAAGCCCCGCTAACCACCAGAGCCAGGCAATCTAGAGGTGTTCCCTGGGCAGTACCTGCAACAATAGGGGCATCAGACAAGGGCACAAGCTCCTCCTGGAAAATACTGGAGAGCTGGAGCGAGGCAGAGGGAGGATGCAAAAATTGTGCCTGTTGGTCTCTGTCTTTGGAGAGTATTTCATTAGATCCGTAAATGTGTGTTAAGTTAGATGTCTGCTCCTCAGGCCAATGCTTTAAAGTAAGTAAGCCTCTTTTCACAGAAAGTCTGGGTGTTTTGCAGTCAGCTACCTCTGTGCTGGGTCGTGGAGTAGGTGAGTCTACACACGTGAACCCTTTAAGAACTTTCTCAGTTCGACAGGCTTGTTGGTCTGGGGGATGCAAGCCCTATTGGCTTTCAAAGCTAGATGTTTTAGGGACTTGTCTCCAGGTGCAGGTCTTAAAAGTTGTGGTGCCAGATGTGGGGTTCAGACCCTTCACTCCTGGGGGAGAAGCTGGGGGTTTTGAGTTCCCTTCCAGTTGTGGATTGCCACACCAGGGTTGGGGTTTATGGCAAGATGGTGTCTCAGCCTCTCCTACCCACTTTGATGTATGTTTTTTCTCATTTGCCCAATGTGTGGGAGTCGCTCAGCTAGTTTTGGGGATTTTTTTCAAGCAAGTTGTTCCGTATGTAGCTGTAGATTAAGTGTATCTGTGGGAGGAGGTGAGTTTAGGATCCTCCTATGTCACCATCTTGAACTGAACTATTTCTTTTTTTTGTTATTTTGGGTTTAATTTGCTCTTCTTTTTATTGTTTCCTCAAGTAGATACTTAGATTATTGATTGCATATCTTTCTTTTTCTCTTTATTTGTTCAGTGGTATAAATTCTTCTCCAGGCACTACTGTTGCTGCATCAGATAACCTTTGATATGTTCTGTTTTCATTTCACTTAGTTCAAAATAATCTTTAGTTTCTCGAGAGACTTTTTTGATCTCACACATTATTTAGAAGTGTTATTTAATTTCCATGTCTTGTGAGGTTGGGAATGACGGCTTCTATATCTTTCTTCATCCTTTTATCTTAAATTTAGTTGTGTTTTTGTATTTAAAGTGTGTTTCTTGGAGACAACATATAATTAGGTGGGATTTTTTTAATCTGCTGTTATGGTATCTGTCTTTCAATTGTAGGGTTTAGACCACTGATGTTTAAAGTGGTTATTGTTATACTTGGATTAATATCTACCATATCCCTTACTCTTTTTTGCCCTTGTTTCTTTTTGTCTTCCACCATTTTCCTGTCTTCTCTGGTTTTGATCGAGCATTTTACCTGATTCCATTTTATCTCCTCTCAGCATATCAATTATAGTTTTTTTAGTTTATTTGTTATCTTGAGGTTCCAGTATAAATTTACAACTAACCCAAGTCCTCTGTCAGGTAACACTATACCACACCACTGGTTGTGCAAGAACCTCATGACAGAGTATTCCCAATTCCTCTCTCTCTGTTCCTTATAACATTGCTGTCATTCATTTCACCTGTCCATGAGCTATAATTAGTGAATACATTGTTACTTTACTGATTTGAACAAACTGATATGTTAGATTAAGTACAATTAAGAAAAAAGATATTTTACCTTCATTTATTCCTTTTCACCAAATTTCTTTTAATGTTTCTTGCAAAGCGGGTGTACTGATGTCAAATTCTCTCAATTTTTGTCTCACAAAATCTTGCTTTCTCCCTCGCTTTAGAAGGATAACTTTGCTTAACAGAGAATTCTAGGATAGTGGTTTTTTACTTTCAGCACTTTAAATATTTCATCCACTCTCTTCTTGCTTGCATCGTTTCTGAAAAGAAGTCTGATTTACTTCTTATCCTTGTTGCAGTATAACTAAGGTTTGTTTTCCTCTCTGATTTTTTTCAGTATATTCTCATTGTCTGTTTTTTCTCCAGTTTGAATGTGATATATTTGGGTGTGCATGTTTTGGTGGGTTTTGTTTTTCATGTTTAGTGTTCTCTTAGCTTTTTGGATCTGTAGTTTGTTGTCTGTCACTAATGTTACGAAATCTGAGTGATAATTGCTTCATTCATTTGTTCTGTTCCTTTCTGCCTTTTTCTTTCAGGTATTTCCATTATGTGTATTTTACACCAGCTGTCATTGTCCCAAAGTTCTTGGACAGTGTGGGAACATTCTGGGTATATTTCAAAATAGTTTCTTTTCTTTCTCTCCAATTTTGGAGACAGTGGTTTGCTCTGTGTCCTCAATTCTCTGATGGATCTAAGAAGGGTTCTTCATTTTAAGTTTCTTTGCTTTTTTCTTGTGAGGTTGGGAATCATGATTTCTAAGTTCATTATATGACACAAAAAACTGGAAGTCTCTGACTCCAGTGTTTGGTTTGACTGCTGACAGTTTTGAAGCCTTGTCCCTTCTTCTTCCTCTTGTGACCCGCATTTACCCAAGGTAATAAGAAAACCTCAGTGCTTCCTTCATTGGCAGTTGTGAGAGATTCAGTCCACGCAAGATCCTGCCTTTATATGTGAACTCTCACTTTAGTCTACCCACAGCCTCAATAAAAAAACGCGTTCATACAGCGTGCTCTCTCAAGCCATTTCATGCCTGCTTTGAGAGGCCTGCCGTGCTTCCCAGAGACTTCGATTATGGAAGTAATAAACCCATTCATACCCTGTTGGCAGATTGTAATGTCATCAACTTAGAGATTCCTACATTCAGGGGTGGGCTGTTATGCTTCTCTGCTCTGTATGGGAGCTCAGAAATAAGCGAAGTTGGGAGAGCTGCCTCTAGAATAGCTGGTTAGGAAACTTTCTTCCGAAATTAGAGAACGGAGATTTTATGTTCTTTTGGAGGAATGCAGTGTTGAATCCTTTATGTATTTTATAATTATGGGCAGATTCACCAACAAACCATGGTGGACTTAATGAACTCCCTTGCAATCTGCAACTCTTAACCTGTTCCTCAAGGGTACACTGTTAGGGTTTGACCAAAAGATCTCTTCTAGCACTTTATTATCTCAGTATGTGTGCCTGTGTACGCTAAAAACTGGTGAGGAGCAGCCCTGAGGTTCATGTGTATAGGGTTTTGGTGGAGGTCTAAGTTGTCATGTGTTTCTGGCATGTCATAATCATGCTAAGTTGTCTGAGCCCTAACTTCTGAAAAACGTCCTAGCTCCCTGAAATGGAACAGAGAGAGAATAGAAAAACTGAGTCTGTGATAAATATTACACGAGTTAAAAATACTACTTCACAAGAATATTTTCATTAGCCAGCTCATTTGACTACTTCTGATGGCTCGGAGTACTTCAGGTCAATATGACAAGCTGAACCTTGTTACAAGTTGGATTTCCACAGGCCTCCGGGACTCTCATGTTTGGTGATGGGAATAGAAGAAAAAGCTTCCAGTTCTTCACTGTGTTTTTATTCATTAAAACCTCATGCAGATTTGACCCTGTACTTCATGGAGTGCTGAGTTAAATGGTAGGTAATAAGGAAAGAGATGAGTTTTTCTCACAAGGAATTGATGTGCTTAAAAAGATATTTGTTTCATTTGTATAGCATTTCTCTCATTTCTCCATGGTGCTATAGACCCTGCCCTTAGAGAGCAATAACTCTTAAAGTGACCACAGTGAAAATGCATAAATAATTTGCATGTGTTTATGATGCTGTTAAATTTATAAGGAAGTAAGCTTGGACAGAGAGTTAGTTTCTGATGACCAAGACATAAAATAAATGTTTGGAGACCACAGAATCATACATAACCTTCCTATAAATTGAGTATAGATCCCCAGTGATGTCAGTCTTTGCATTCTACTATACACATATCTGTAATGTTTCAGGACTCCGTGACCTTTGAGGATGTGGCTGTGAACTTCACCCTGGAGGAGTGGGCTTTACTGGATCCTTCACAGAAGAAACTCTACAGAGATGTGATGCGGGAAACCTTCAGGAACCTCGCCTCAATAGGTAAGATGACGACTTCACTTTGTTTTCTTGCCATGATCATTTTTCCAAGATGTAGAATGTGGAAAGGGAGGACATCAGTGAATAAACTAGGCATGGTCACAGCTAACAATGGTTATAGAATCTAATACTTTTTCTATAATTTCTAATAATTTGGAATTATTTTTTTGGTCTCTGTTTTAGGGAAAAAATGGGAAGGTCATAACATTGAAGATGGCTTGAAAACCCAGGGGAGAAATCTAAGGTGAATCACACTCATGAGACAGCACTGTCACATGTGAGAATCCTAGTATGTCATGAAATTTTTAAAAAAAGCAAATAAAACAATGCCAGCTTCAAATTTGTTTATCCTTAAGTTTTTTTCACTGAAAATACTTGCTTAAGTATGACATAGATGTCCCATGTTAGCAAAATTATTCACTTCAAACAGTATTAAGAAACCTTGTCTATAAACATCACTGTTTTCATAATAGCTATGGTCAAGTCCTCTTACAGATTATTTAGTATATTCATATTCAAACACTACAGAAAGGGCAGAAAATCTACACTTCTGCTGTAAATTATAAAAATGTTATTCATTATCCTACTAATAAATAAAAAATTATCGATAAATCATTAATAACATGCTTCTCGTTTTTTTACAGAAGTCAAATGGTAGAGAGACTCTGTGAAAGCAAAGGAGGTCGACAATGTGGAGACACTGTCAGCCAGATTCCACATCTTAATCTGAACAAGAAAACTCCTTCTGGAGTAAAGCCATGTAAATGTAGTGTGTGTGGAAAAGTCTGTGTGTGTCATTCATCCCTTAACAGGCATGTCACATCTCACACTGGACACAAACCATATGAGTATCATGAATATGAAGAGAAGCCATATAAATGTAAGGAATGTGGGAAAGCCTTCAGTTACCGCAAATCTGTTCACAGGCACGAAAGGACTCACACTGGAGAAAAACCCTATGAATGTAAGGAATGTGGGAAAGCCTTCACATGGCTGACAACCTATCGAAGACACATGATAACACACACTGGAGATGGACCTTATAAATGTAAAGAATGTGGGAAAGCCTTTAGTTGTTCCACTTCATTTCGAACACATGAAAGAACTCACAGTGGAGAGAAACCCTATGAATGTAAACAGTGTGGTAAATCCCTCAGGTCTCCTCTAGGTTTACAGATACATGAAAGAAATCACACTGGAGAGAAACCGTATGAATGTAAACAGTGTGGTAAAGCCCTCAGTTGTCCCAGTTCCTTTCGAAGACATGAAAGGACTCATACTGCAGAGAAACAATATGCGTGTAAACAATGTGAGAAAACCTTCAGTTCTCCTCTTGGTTTGCGAATACATGAAAGAATTCACACTGGAGAGAAACCCTATGAATGTAAGGAATGTGGGAAAGCCTTCATTTCTCTCTCGAGCATTCGAACACACATGATAACGCACACTGGAGATGGACCTTATAAGTGTAAGGAATGTGGTAAAGCATTCATCTGTCCCAGTTCATTTCGCTCACATGAAAGGACTCACACTGGAGAAAAGCCATATGAATGTAAACAGTGTGGTAAAACCTTCAGTTGGCCCAGTTCCTTTCGAATACATGAAAGAACTCATACTGGAGAGAAACCCTATGAATGTACAGAGTGTGGGAAAACCTTCATTTATCGCACAACCTTTCAAGGACACATGAGAAAGCACACTGGAGAGAAACCCTATAAATGTAAAGAATGTGGGAAAGCCTTCATTTCTCCTTCAAGTGTCCGAACACACATGATAATGCATACTGGAGATGGACCTTATAAATGTAAGGCATGTGGGAAAGCCTTTAATTTTCCCAGTTCATTTCGAATACATGAAAGAACTCACACTGGAGAGAAGCCCTATGAATGTAAACAGTGTGGTAGAGCCTTCAGTTGTTACACATCTTTTCGAACCCATGAAAAAACTCATACTGGAGAGAAACCCTATGAATGTAAGGAATGTGGAAAAGCCTTCGTTTATCGCACTACTTTCCGAGGACACATGAGAATGCACACTGGTGAGAAACCATACAAATGTAAAGAATGTGGCAAAGCCTTCAGTCGCCCCAATTCCTTTCGAAGGCATGAAAGATCTCATACTGAATAGAAACCTCTTGAATGTAAGCAGTGTGGGAAAGACGTCAGTTGGCCTTCATCCTTACATGTGAAAACTCCCATTGGAAAGAAATCTTATAAATTTAAGTATGAGAAAGCCTGATACAAATTAATTCATGTATAAAAGAATCATAATAGTTAAAAATATATTGTTTTTATCAGTGCCTCATTCTTAAAGTGGATTTCTGTACTGTGGGTATTTACTCCTTACTTTCAAAAGTGAACATTGAGGTGAGATAATTCTGTAAGTTCTGTTTAACCAATATTATGTAAGATTTATAGGTATTGTTTTCTCATTGAATCAGTTAATAACATTTTTTTCTTTGCATTTGGAACCTGTTTGATCCATGGGAGAGTTGAGGTGTAATATGCAAGTAGGTTTAATTTTTATATAATGTTTCACTTGTTTTGTAAGGAAGGAGCTATTGATAAATGGCATTTTGGTATTTGTTGGGATTTTCCTACTGGCCTCCTGTGCCAGGTACCGGATGTCCTTTACACATTATATATTCATTCTTTCATTCTTATGAGAAGATTAACTCTTTTGTTGTGGCCAGAAGAGCCTTATTCCATTTTCCTTGCTAATAAAAGATGGCAAAAATTTGTAAATATGTAAATATGGAGAGTTTATCATATAGTCTCATGTCAGTTATTTCCATGTGTTCCCTTTGATCTTTGTCATTCCTACTGGCTGGGATTTGAATAATAGACTTTGCCTTAAGACAGACCTGTTGGACAATAAAATGTAGAATTGGAGATGGCTCTCCTAAATTGTTTTGTTACCTGGGTAATGTAACATTTTCTAGAATCTGTGTCCTTTATGGTTCCATGTTAGAATTCACCTATAGCCTCACTTGCGTGAGATTTGGAAGGCAGAAGCAAACAAAGCATTAGTCAAGTTTGGAGCCACCATACAGAGAGAGAGAGACGACATGCATAGGAGCTTTGAGAACACCTGCTTCCAGCCTGTTTTCCTGATTCCTTGCCCTGCCAATCAAGCATATTCTCAAAACCACAATCAACTGCTTGACTTCCACTTGTTTAGAGGTGTAGGTTTCCGCACATATCCTCACAAGTTCCACGTCAAAGATCCATCGTAGTTTGGGTTTTCCTACAAGCTGCCACGTGTCCACCAGGCAACTAATTCGAACTTTCTCTGATGCTTGGACTTCCATCTTCTTTAGATTGTATTTGTTTAAGGTCTAATTTGTGTAGTAAACACCTTGTTCTGGTAATGGTGCTAGTGACCATGTGTTCATGATTTCGCTGTGACAGCTACAATGGTGTGGTCCAAAAGAACCTCCACTGCACTGCGTGGCAACTGCTCTGACCCAGTTCTTCCACGTGAGAATAAGCACCTTCCTCATATCAGGCAGATTATGGATGTTCTCCATTGCTCACAGCTGTACAAAACTCCACAGTACATTTTCAGTCATGTTTGATTGATTGTGACTAAAAACAATAGCTTTTTGTCAAAATCTTCTGTAGTTGTTTCTTAAAACTACTGTTTTTTGTTTCTTAAGCACATAATAAAATATTTTGTTGTAATAATGGATTTTCAGATCAACTTAATAATCTTGTCAAGGTAATTGTTATATATTTTCACTCAATATTAGCTTGTGTGTACAAGTTCAGGTATTTCTTACTCATGTAGATTTTATTTTTTATTCTTTTATAGTTAACAGGTTTTGTCATGAAACTAATTTCTCATTAGTTTTGTCAGTGCGATCTTGCCAAAACCCACCAGGATGACACCAGCAGTCAACAAGAGTGGTGTAATGAATTGTAGTAATAAGAATGAGCACAAAGCCTGAATGACCATGGATTTATCAGTAAGAGGGCGCTCAAAAGGACTTACATGATTTGGGCTTTTGTTAGGTGATTTGATTGCTATTGAAGGAAGCAAGACTTTTTTCTTGAATGCTGTGAGGAGGTAAACTTTATTCTGTCATTGGTAATCATGATCATTGTTCTCCAGAAAGCAAAATCAGTGTAGTGGAGCTAACCTAGAAGCTCCAGTCATGTTAGTAAGAAGAGGGGAATGTTGGTCATTTGTGTGATTTGGAGTTGTTTCCTTTACCATTTTTAGAGAGATGGTTACAACACACCCTTTTTTGTGTGTGTGTGAGGAAGATCAGCCCTGAGCTAACATCCATGCTAATCCTCCTCTTTTTGCTGAGGAAGACCGGCTCTGAGCTAACATCAATTGCCAATCCTCCTCCTTTTTTTCCC